CCCGACCCCTCTTCCTCAGTCGTTCACGGCATCTTCTTCCTCCTCCTCCTCCTCCTCTCTTCCTCCTTGTCCTCCTACGCCTCCTCCTCCTCCTCCTCCGTCAACTTCCCCCCTCATCTCCCTCCCGTCTGCGAGCCTCATTCTGCGCGATCGTGATCGTCCCCCCGACGGAGGTGGCCACGTCGTAGAACAGCTCTCCTGCGCCGTGTGCTGGCGCCTCATTCCTGCCCCGTGATGACCGTGTTCTCCCGAGCCCCGTTCACCTGCACACCGGTGCAAACTTTCATCATGAAGAATAGCGCCCTAGAAGCTTAGATGTCTTTCCCAAGCTTGCCAGCTCTGCTGTGCAAATTCACAACAGCATCCATGAGGATGGACAGTCCAAATCTATACGATTCATTGCTGCTTCACCACAGCGCCAGCGCCGAGCCCGAGTCTCAGCCATCTTAAGGACGAGTGCGGGGGGAGGGAGAGCACAACGCAACCCCAATCGCAGAGACGGCTGTAGAAGAAGCGTTGGCAGCGAAATCTGAACCCGTTGCCTCAGGGGGGGTGCAGCAGAAGGGCTCTGTGCAGCCCGCGTGGCCCTGGGCATCCTAGCATCGTTGACCCCACAGGACCCGCTATTCCTGAGCCTGGCCTAGTCCAGGAGACAGGGAACCTGCTGACTTCATTGGCAAAGGGAGCCCGCGCCAATACATCCATCGCCTATACATCCGTCGCCACTGTCCACCCCACTCATCATCCTCATTACCCTTTGGCAGGAGTCGGCTGCACGGAAGAGTGACGCTGGGTGAGAGTGACCTCTGGTGCGCGGCTTTTGGGGGGCCACGGGGAGCCAAACACGAGCGCGCAAGACGCTACTGCCGCATCCTGTTCGACGATCGGGAGACCCCCGTGACCCGTGGCCCCGCACCAAAGGTCACCCCGGCGAAGGGTCACTCTTCCGTGTAGTCGACAGGACGGACAAGGACGACCAGCGACGACGACCAGCACCGGCGCGCGCGAGCCAGGGCAGTCCTGCTCGCTGCGGGCCCCAGGCCTCCCTCACAACGCGGAGCCGCCCGGGCGTCTCCACGCGGCCCCAGCTCGCCTGGAGCGACTGGGAAGTCGTCGTCGGCGGCGGCGGCGGCAACGACGTCGTCGTCGTCATCGTCGTCGTCGACGTCGTCGTCGTCGTCGTCGTCAGCGGCGGCGTCCTCCTCCTCCTCCTCCTCAGTTCCTGCTCCTGGCAAATAACTCCTCCCTGTCGCATCCCGAAGCGGGTCGGCAGGGCAGGCTGGGCGCCTCGCCTGAGACATCCTCACCGCTTATTGTCCTGAAGCTTGACACTTGCAGAAGTTTCACGAATGGAGGGCAGGTCGTTTGCAAGATGCGATTCTCACATTCACACCTCGCACTCCCGTCTTAAAGCTTGCAAGAGCTTCACAGATGGAGGGCGGGTGGTTTTCAAAATGTTGCTCTTGCCTGGGCGCCTCGGGCATTGGTCCTGAAAGTTTACAAGAGCCTCACGAATGGAGGGCGGGAGGTGTGCAAAATGCGGTTTTCGCCTCCACCCCGCGCACATTCGTCTTATAAGTTTGAACTAGCTTCACGGATGGAGGGCACGTGGTTTTCAAAATGTTGCTCTTGCCTGGGCGCCTCGGGCATTCGTCCTGAAAGCTTGTCAGAGCTTCACGAATGGAGGGCGGGTGGTTTTCAAATTGTGGCGATCGCTGAAGCACCGCGCTCATGCGTCTTGAAAGATTGCAAGAGCTTCGCGGATGGAGGGCAGGTGGTTTTCAAAATGTTGCTCTCGCCTGGGCGCCTCGGGCATTCGTCTTGAAAAGTTACAAGAACTTCGCGAATGGAGGGCGGGTTGTTTTCAAATTGTGGCTCTCGCCGCAGCACCGTGCTCATGCGTGTTGGAAATTTGCAAGTGTCTCGCGGATGGAGGGCGGGTGGTTTTAAAAATGTGTCTCGCGCCTCGACACCGCGCACCTGCGTCTTAAAAGTTTGCAATATCTTCATGGATGAAGGGCGCGTGGTTTTCAAAAATGTGGTTCTCGCCTCCGCACCGCGCACATTCGCATTGTAAGTCTGCAAGAGCTTCACGGATGGAGGGCAGGTGGTATTCAAAATTCGGCTGTCGACTTAGCGCCGCTCGCACGCGTCAAAAAAATGCAAGGTCTCACGGATGAAGGCCGGGTGGTTTTCAAAATGCGGTTATCGCCGTAGCGCCGCGCACATTCGCCTCAGAAATGTGCAGGAACCTCACCAACGGAGGGCGGCTTCATTTTCAAAATTTGGTTCTCGCACCAGCGCCGCGCACAGTTGTCCTAGCAATTCACATCAGTTTCAGAAGTGTTATGGCTGACGTCCCAAACATTGTGTGTTAGCAAGATTTAGACTTGTCGGGGCGCGACAATCACGTTGACTCGCGGCGCCGGCGTTCCAGAAAGGGCGCTCTGGTACGGTTTAGGATCGTCGGGTCGCAACAGTAGCGTTGATTCGCGGCGTTGAAGTCCCAGGAAGTGCGCCATGGAACCGTTGAATACTACCAGACGGTTGTCTTCCAACGGGGCTTTTCCCGCGATACTCCTCCTCCTCCTCCTCCTCCTCCTCCTCTTCCTCCTCCTCCTCCTCCTTTCCTCCTCCTCCTGTTCTTCTTCCTCTTCCTCCACCACCACCTCCCTCCTCCTCCTTCTCCTCCTTCTCCTCCTCCTCATCCTCCTTCACCTCCCACTGCTTCTCCTCCTCCTCCTCCTCCGCCTCATCCCCCTCCCCCTCCTCGTCATCATCAAATCATCATCAAATCATCATCACTAGCAGCATCAGCATCATCAGCATCAGCATCGGCATCATCATCATCATCATCATCGTCATCAGCATCATCATCATCAGCATCATCATCATCATGTTCATCACCATCATCATCATCATCATCATCATCATCATCAGCAGCAGCAGCAGCATCAGCATCAGCATCATCATCAGCAGCAGCAGCATCATCGTCATCCGCCTTTTCCTCCCTCCTCCTTTCCCCCCCCCTCCTCCATTCTCCCTCCTTCCTCCTCCCCCTCCCTCCTCCCTCATCCTCCTCCCTCATCCCTTTTCCCTCCTCCTCTTCCTCCCTTTTCCCTCCTCCTCCTCCTCCTCCTCCTCCTCCTCCTCCTCCTCCTCCTCCTCTGCCTCCTCCTCCTCCTCCTCCTCCTCCTCCTCCTCCTCCCTCCTCCCCCCCTCCTCCTCCTCCTCCTCCTCCTCCTCCTCCTCCTCCTCCTCCTCCTCCTCGTCCTCCTCCCCCGCCTCCGCCTCCTCCTCCTCCTCCTCTTCCTCCTCCTGTTTAACCAGTTTAACGCAGCCACGGACTCCCGCAGTGCAAGAGACAGAGCAAAAAAAAGGTCAGGATGGGCCTCACTCCCGCTGCACCTGCATGCTACGCCCGAATTCGGCCCTCGAGCTGGGATCCTTGCCCGCGAGGAACAAAGCCAACGTCTTGTCAGCCGCCGAGTGTCGAGGCCTGTTGTTGCATTGCTCTTTCAGGAAGCGGGAGCGTGCAACCCCGAACGCCGCGCATTTCCGACACCACACAACAGTCCCAGACGGCCCCGAGCCCATCCAGAGGACGTGTGTGGGGTGTGCAGTCGCGGCGATCACTGGTATGCCTGGGCACGCGAAGGCCGCCAGACCTCCTCTGAATCTGGCACGGCCTCAGCAACGGGCACACACATGACCTTTGCCTTCACTACAGATCGCGTGCCCGTTGTCATCGGCAACTAATTCCAGCTGAGGGGTATCACCGCGGGACTTGAGGGGGTTGGCTTTGCCTTTGCACCGCTCAACATCCTTCAGACCTCGACGGGGCACCTCCCCCAACAGAAAACCGAGAACCTTGCCAACCTGCTTAATTCCAACAGTCACAAGTTTAAACCAGCTACGCATATCATCATCCTGATCCTGAAGTTGGGTCCCCTCCCTCGCAAGACGGTCGGCCTCTTTGTTGCCCCGCCACGCGTAGAAGGGGTAGCCCTGGCCCATGGCCTGGTCCCAGGACAGGTGAGACTTGATCTTATTCAGCTGGATGGTATCCCATCCGATATCTCGAGCTTTAGCCAAGACCTTTTCCCGGACCTCCGAAAACGCAAGCCTCGAAACATCTTGGTCTGGGCCAAAGCTCCACACGTCAATCAACACTTTACAGTCGGTCCATATCTCGAACGGCCCCACATCCGCATGGAGGAGGGCCATATAGAGCGCCCACAACTCCCCCCCAAGTTGGTTTGCAAGGGGTGCGGAAGGGGCCGTACATGCTACCCCGAATCTGGCCAGCCCTACAAATCGCAACCGCAGACCATCCAGCTCGAGAACACCACGGCAGAGGCGGGTCGAGGCCCGAACCGTCAAGGCAGAACACCTCCACCAACTGGCCAGACCTCGGGTAAATGTGCCACTTCCAGGCCTGCTGCACAATTGGGACTCGGTGAGTATCTAACGGGCGATCCTAGCAAGCCCCTGGTTCCAAACAAACCAAAAAATCGCCATTTAGCGGAGACGGCGTGGCCACCCGCTCTGACTTGACGATCAAAACCAGGGACTGCCTGTATTGGAGGGTCGCTGGGCAATCATAACACCTATGCTGCTTGGCCCTCCAGGGGTGCCCACAGACTTTACATCGCGACGAAATCGAGCGCCGACCCAAGTAAAGATCAACCTGGGCAGCCATTCCCCCCGAAGCCACCGCGGCCAAGAGGACCTTGGCCCGAAGCGCGGAAATCTTGGCACACCTCCTGAAAGGAGTTCCAAGCAAGGAAAAGAGGGGTTGTCACTACTCACTGCTTCGTCGTGGATTGTCAGGTCCCGAAGAAGCGCGCCCTCGGTGCCTGTATCCACGATGCTCTTGACCGCCCTAGCCCCGTACTCGCTGAGATCCAGAGAAAGCCCACTAGACGTCCCCCAACAATTCCAACGTATCGGGGACCACCCGAGCCTTCCCAAGGTAGCCAGCACGGCCCCCGTGGGGCCTGTCACTTTCTGCCAACCCGTGCTCTCCTGACTCAACAAATCGAACGCTTGGGACATGGCGTCTGCCGGGGCCCACCCATATCTGACCGCCGACGCCAAAGCCGCGAGGGGAGCGGAGTTGGCCACATAAGCAGGATCTGCCAGAGGTGCGGGAGACAGCATGAAGCCGATGGTCCGACTCCTGCCCTTGGCCTTCCCGAAGACCGACTCCCCCACCGACGCGCGCATCTGCTTGCGGATGCGGCCCGACACCCCCACGACCGAGGCCCCGCACAGTCCTGCAGGGCTGACTCCTGCACGGACAATCCTCGCCAACTTGGCGAAAGACGATCGGATACCTCTGAACCGATGTGCTCTCTTCCTAAGCTTGGCGGCTCGGCCTCTCTGGATCGGGTTCCTGCGGGATCTCCCCATAGTTGAGTCGATCCCCAGGTTTCTCACCACCGACGCCCCAGAGACCCCCACTACCTCAAATCCTGGGCGGCCTTTCGAACCACGGACTGGTGAGTGGAAACTATTTTTCCCTTGGCTCTGGCGAGGATCAGATCTAGGCCCCCCGGCAACCTGCGCGTGCACATCACGACCGAGGGCAGACGCGCAGACAGGAACCTGGCGCTGCCAGCGACCCTCAAAGTTATGTCATCAACGGCATTGTACACATCAGCGAACGGGAACCTGTGCACAACGCTTTCCAAGGTGCTCAGCAACAACAACTTCAATAGCGACGTTGCTAAGGCACTGACAGCTACGATCGTCTGGCAGACCATAACAGGCAGCGACGCAACTCCCCCCACTACCAAAAGCCTTGGGCCACGATATATGGCAATCAAGATGCGCAAGATACCCAAGGGGAACTTCCAAGCGCGCGCTGCATCAATCAGCCACCCGTGCAACACTCGCTCATAGGCTTCGGAAAGATCAAGCAGCCCCTCACCTAAACAAGAGTTGGCGGGAAGGGCCCGCTCTGCAGCGAAAGCCTGTTCCCGGGCTCCTCGTTCACAGGACATCCCCGCGCGCCCATAGATGAAGGCGCGCTTCTTGGCATTCCCCCAGTGTCTGGCAACCGAACGAGCGCATCTCCCCCAAACTGTCACAAACGTCGTCAATAGGCCGATGGGGCGGAAGCCCCCTTCAGGTTTCTCCAGCATCGCTATCATGATGAGGGGGGACTGGGACGACAGCTTCCACGTGTCCAGCATCCAGTGCCAGAGCAGACCGAGCACCGTAAGACATTGGCCTGCAAGCCAGCACAGATCCCGCGGGCTCAACTTGCCCGCGCCCACAGCCGCCCGAGGCTTGAAGGTCCGAGCAACACGTCTTAGATCATCTGCAGCAAAGGGAGGGGCGCTCGCGGCCTCCAGGGGGTCGATGCCTTCTTCACGGAGCAGCTCAGACATGACCGCTGCAGGGTCTGCCACTTCATCGCGAGGACGAGCTGGTTCCCCTGCGGGCGCGGGCACCCCCCCAGATCTGACCCCACTCCTGCTGCAACACATCTACCTGAGCTCCCAACCCCAACGGGGCCCCATCGGGCCCAGCAGCCGCGGGCCTCCAGCCGACTGGGGACTTGGTGAATCGGCGTGCTTTGCCAGCCCCCTTGTCGCACGCATCTGCAACCCACTGCCTCCAAGCTGCTCCTCTGGCCCTCGTGAAGGCCTGCTCCAGCAAGGAGGCGATGTAGACAGCCTTACTCGAATACTCATCCAACTGATCTGCTGACAGAGCCAAGATGCCTTCGAAGTTCGGGCACCAACGCTTCCAACAATCCGCGTCCTCATCAGCGGCTGACTGAAGACAAGCCTGGATACCAGCCCCATGCAGCGCGTCGGAAAGATCCCATCCTCTCGCCGCACAACATAGGCCAGCTCCTGGAAACGAATCGAGACTTTGCGCCACCCACGGGCCTTCACACACACGACAAGGCAAAAGGTCCCCCAGACGTCTGCAACTCAGGGACCCTGCGCAGCCTCCAGCCATCGCCTCGCCCTCGATATCTGCCCTCATCGGCCCCCTGGGGCCCATGCGCAGCAATCAACTCAGTTGCAAGAAGCTGGTAAAAAATGCGGGTATGTCAGGTCCAACTCGTTCTGCCCACAGCAAGCAGGGTTCGCCCCCCACCCCGGGATGGAATCCTCAACATGTCCCCCGTCAGGTGGCGCTGGCAAGGGGCACTGAGGAGCCTCTGCGGGGAACCTGCGGGGCCCTGCGGGCGCCAGATACTCAGCGCGAACAAGACGCGACTTTAGCTTGAGAGCCACAGGATAATGAGGTGTAATCGCCGCGTCCTTGACGCCAAATACTGAATTAAAAGATGGTACAAGCCCTGGCGATACAACGAAATAGTCCAGTGGCCTCCCCTGCCCCAAATCGGTCCAAGAGGGGCCCGAGAAGCCCTCCAGACGGTCCAAGAGAGCCGGGAGAGGCCGAAATATCACTCCCAAACGCCTACGATGTCCTCAGGACGGCCCAACAGGCTTTCAAGACGCCCAAAGAGGTCCCTAAGAGGTCCCTACGCGGCGTCCCAAGAGGGTTCCCACTAGCAAAAATCGTATCATCCCCTTTGGGAAAACGTGCATGTCTAACATATCCGCTTCGTCTTTCACACCTTTCAAGGCGGTCCAAGAGGCCCCCAGGATCACCCCAAGACGGCCCGAGAAACCCTCAAGACCGCTCAAAGACGGCCCAAGAGCGCTCCAAGAAGGCCCAAGAAACCCCCAAGAACTCGAACTCTTTTTCGGAGCCCGGGAGGGCTCCAAATCGGTCCAAGAGAGGCCCGAGAAGCCCTCCAGACGGTCCAAGAGAGCCGGGAGACGCCGAAATATCACCCCCAAGCGCCTACGATGGCCTCAAGACGGCCCAACAGGCCTTCAAGACGCCCCAAGAGGTCCCTCAGCGGCGTCCCCAGAGGGCTCCCACGAGCAAAAATCGCTTCATTCCCTTAGGAAATCGTGCATCTTTAACATATCCGCCTCTTCGTCTTTCACACCTTTCACGGCGGCCCAAGAGGCCCCCAAGATCACCCCAAGACGGCCCGAGAGACCCTCAAGACCGCTCAAAGACGGCCCGAAAGTGCTCCAAGAAGGCCCAAGAAACCCTCAAGACGGTCCAAGAGGCCCCAAGACGGCCCCATGATTGAGGTCCACAGGGGCAACCTGAACGGACATTTTGAGCCCCCCGCCCAAACGCGCCCCCGAAATGCTCTTACAAGCCCCCAAGTAGCCCCACGAAACCCCCAAGAGAGCCCCAAGAGGCCCCCAACAGGCCGCAAGAAAACCCCAAGAGGCCCCCAAGAGACCTCCAGGAAGCTCCCAGGAGGCCCCCAAGAGGCCAGGCAGACCCCCCTAAGAGACCACCAAGAGGGCCCACCCAGAGCCATCCACGAGGCCTCCTAAAGTTCCCAAAAAGCTCCCACGAAGCTTCCAAGGGCTCCCAAGACCCCTCAAGACCCCGCGATGGCACAATACGGGCCGGCGGAATGAGCGAAGCGATTCAACAATCCAGCTCCATCCAGACTTTTCACTTCCTGCAAGTGGCCTCCCCTGCAGCTGCAATGTGTCCCCCCACCTTGCTCACCCGGCCCGACTGCCTGAGCTGAGCAGGGGGGCAGTTCCAGCCTCCGCCCACAATGAATGGCAAGCGGAGGGTGTGGAGCACTTCGCCCAACCGATAAAGAATATGCGATCCTATCTCTCCGAGGGGGTCTCCTGCCGGAAGATACAGCGACACAGCCAGAAAAACCTCCAGGCACGATGCTGCTGATCCAATACATGACCACTCTGTGAGCCGTGGGCAAGGCTGGGCCCTCCAACGGCGACAATGACATTCCAATATGCGTCGGCACTGCAATCCCCACTCCAGATGACAACCCCCCAGCCTCAGTGGGACGACTAGGGCTGAGCATCGTCGAGAAAGCCCAACCCCTCAACTTCGCCTCACACTCATCCTTGGCCAGGGGGAACTCCAACCTCTTGCAACAAAACAGCGGCCGCACCTGGGGCCTCCTTTTCCACGAGCTTCTGGCAGTTACTCCAGTCGGAAGTGTTGGCCGTGAGCACGGTCACGACCGCATCCTCCTCCCCTGAACCTGCATCACCCCCGCGACGGAGGGCCTCCACTTCCTCCTCCTCCTCCTCCCGCGGCGGACCCTGTGGCCCCCGCGCCTGAGCCTCCTGACGCTGCGGGTGCTGCTGCTGCCGCCGCCGCCCCTCCTCCTCCAGCTGCCCCAGCTGCTCCTCCGCCCTTCCCTCCACCTCCCTTGCCCTTCGGCCCCTTGGAGGCCACCGCACGAGCGGCCTGAAAGACCTCCTAGTGGACTTGGGGGGGGGCTGGGCTGTGAGCCTCTGTTGCTGCTGCAGGTTCTGGTGTTGCTGCGGCTGGCTGCTGCTGCTGCTGTTGCTGCTGCTGTTGCTGCTGCTGCTGCTGCTGCTGCTGCTGCTGCTGCTGCTGCTGTGGCTGACCCCCAGGAGGCGCCCCAGCAGCCCCAGTATAAGCATTACCCCCAGCAGTCGCACCCTCATCCGTTTTACGCTTCTTCGCCGCCAGCCTAGTGTTGAGCTCACGCTGCTTAGTGATATCCGCTTGGGCTCTCTCACGAAACGAGCCGAATGCCTGAACAGCTGCTGCCTGGAACGCCGATACCAAGGACTCCTTCCTCCTCGTTGCCTCCTCCTTCTCCTCAGCCGACGGTTCCCATCCTTCCTCCTCCAGGCCAAGAAGCCCATCATCATCCAACAGGAGACCCTCAAGACCTTCGTCCATGAGTTTCGCCAGGGCACGACAGGCTGAGCTGACTGTGCGGACTGGGGCTGCTGCTGAGGCTGGACGGTGGAAGCAAGCTCACGGACAGCAGCTGCATACCTCTCCTTAGCTGACTCCAGGGCCTGGAAAGCTGAACCACGATCCTGCTTAGCCTGGTCCAACTGGGCCTCCAGGTTGCTGGCACGTGTAACTGCGTTGTCCAGGGCTGCCTGGCAACGCTCCAGCTCCTGCTTCGCGGGCCCCCACTGCAACCTGGGCGGCGCCTCGATGGCGCGAGGCTTCTCCTTATACTTACTGGCTGCCTCGAAGCCAGAATTGGCCTCGAGAAACTTGATGGCTGACTGAAGTTCCTCCTTGGTACTCCCCTGAGCTCCCGTGGAGGAGGCTGGGACGGACCAGGAACCAGGAGGCTGCACAGTATACCCAGAACCAGGAGGAGCAGACTGACTGTCACCACACACCCCACTGGTACCCTTCTGGACAAATTGCACATCACCGATGCCTGACCACTGGCGACCGCAGTGTTTACACCACGTCCACCAATACGTGTTTGCCTTGCACCCGCATCCTCCACACATCCAATTCCCGACACGAGAACCATGCGCTGGCATCGCGCGCCCCCGCGCGCCGACCGAAGGGATGGGACCGCGGCCCCCCACACACAGCACACTGGCCACCTCGAGCCGAGGTTGGGAAGTTCAGGAACAGGCCCCTTGAGCCAAAATGGCTACGTACTTCTCCTCCTCCTCCGCCTCCTCCTCCTCCTCCTCCTCTTCCTCCTCCCTCCTTCTCCTCATCCTCCTCCTCCTCCTCCTCCTCCTCCTCCTCCTCCCATTCCT